ATACTGTGAACCAAATTAAAATATCATTTATGAAAAATAAAACTTTAGGGGTAATCTAACTTATCCTTAAACCAAACACCCCAATAGCGTATAATTAAAATAATTGATAAATTAATATGAAAATATAATAAAATCTTAACTTCACTGGTTAAATCTAAAAACTTCATCATTCGTAGAATAATAGTCTATTATTTATTATAATTACAATTGCCCATTAGTTGCTTCGGTGAACAACAAGAAGGCTTCCCCAATTGGGCCACTGTGTTTTGGTTTTTAATCTACAAATTGGGCCAAAAGGTAACTTTGGGTTGGGATGACACAAGGAGTAATGTTCACACAAAGAGGCAAAGCAATGCTTTGGAAAGACAACAGTAAGGAGAAAGCATTGAAAAAGTTGCATCCTGTTCCTTTGGAGTACCTCCAAATGTTTCTCAGAAACCTTTTTCCTCTTCTTAAATAAAACAAATAATAGTTTGATTGGATAATTGTCATCTGACTTTTGCTATATTCAAGTCCACAAATTATGTTGTTCTAGACTTGATACTTGATAGTAATGGTGACTGACTAAGAGAGAGAATGAGAATGGAGTATATATATATTTACATATATTATGTTTTCTTTTTATATAAGAAAAAAAAATTCAAACTCAAACTTCATATTATCTTTTATGAAATTTTATTCTTTCCCTATCACTTGATTTAAATACAAGTGACACTTGTTTTTATATATTTATTTAAAAGCAATTTTTTTTTTTGTTTTCTCTCTTTTAACAAATTAGAAGAGAGAGTATAATATATTAAAAAAGAATATAATAACATTTAATCTAAGATTGATCTGTTAAAAAAAATTGCTCAGAATTTGATTCAACATTGATACATGTATAAATCTTCCGGTTCAAAGATTTGGGTTTTGATCCGATTTTCTTCCAAAAAAGAAAATAGAGTAATAAATATTTAGAGAAATTGCCGACTCTTTACCACCGGACCTCATTATTGCTAGGGTCAGTCTACGAGACTATGACATAAGCAACTCTTTTTGCTTCACTCGGAAAAGTAGGTTGCACCTGCTAATTCTCACTAAAATTATTGTAATCATGAGATTATTTGAAGTCAAATACAATATGATGGGTTTTAACGAAATGATAAAAAAAAAAAAAGAAAGCATTGATGTAATTATCCTATGTTTTGGCTGTGAAATTTTGCTTTGACCTTCAAATTAATATATATATATATATATATACATAATCCTTTGATAAAAAAAAGATATATACAAAATCCTAAACAAATCCTAAGTTACCGCAAACATTGGTAATTCCATAAGTGGTTTCTAATATTCATCAAGATATTAAGTGTGTATTTAGATGGGGGTATTTGGAGGATGAACTTCTTTCTATTAAGATTTTTCAAAGTTCAAAAATAAATTTTTTTATTTGGGTAAAAATATAAGACAATTTTAAAATTTAAGTGAAATTTCAAGACTTGAAATTTCACTTACATAGGTGTTTTTTCAAAATTATTTCAAATCATCCATCTTTTTATTGCACATGATTTTTCATAAATTACAAAACTAAAAAATATCATTTTATTTAACTCCAATATATATATTTTTATATTATTAATAATATCTATATATTTTTACAAATTTAATAATATCCATATTACATATTTTATTTATACATATATATTTTTCCTTTAATATCAATTTTTTTCTTTTATAATTATTTTTTATCTTATCAAATTCCAATAGACTAAATTTATTTCTAAAAAATATTTATCAAAATAAAATAATTACCAATGTTAGCATTTCGAAATAATACATTTTAAAAATACCTTCATTTCAAAATTTTTTAAAATTTTAAATTATTCATGCAAACAAACTGTAAAGGAATCTCTTTGGGCTTCCCCTTCCCCACTTAATTGGAATTATATATATCATATTTTCCCCCATACAGGGACCTCTAATTTATCACATTGATTGATATTTTTCCTTTTAGCATTGCCTTGGCAACTTTTGAGCTTTTGAACTTTTTGGCATCTAGGGAAGTATATGGTTAACACAATGAAAAATGAAAAAGGGATACATTGGAATATCTAGGAAGATCCCAACCTGTGTAGAGATATGGGTTCTTTAACATGATGGTTCAAGTATCATCTCTTCCAAAAAAAAAAAAAAAAATGAAAGAAAAAAAGAAAAAATGAAAGCATGTCTGTTCTGAGTTCAAAGGCTCAAAAAGAAGTTATTAGATGCTAAAAATTAATAAAGCCTATTTCTAAGTTCCTCACTCTTATTAAGATTTTAAAAAAATCACTTTGACCTAGTGATCGTTTAACTATATTTAGTAATAATATTGTTATTTCTATTTTTAATCCTACATTTATATATATATATATATATATATATTGATAAAAACTCATATATAAAGTTTCAAGATCTCTTTTTTTATTTCTAAATTAATGCTTCATTGGCTCTATATGTATAATATTATTATTTAATATATCTCGGCTTGGACTTATTTTAATTTTATATATTTTGATTCAAATGCAAAAATTATTATTGGATTATTTATCGGACTACACAAAAAGAGACACATTGGAACTTACTCAATATATTCGATCAATCTTTAATTAATTTAAAATTTTAAAATATGATTTGATAATATTCCAACTATCTCTTTTAACAATTTTTAGTTTTTTTTTAATTTTTTTTTATCAATCCTTGCTCATAAATTTGGGTTCTACTTTCAACGGATACATGATTAAGGAAGCAATTTCATTGGTTTGTCAAATTTTCTGTATATATTTGTGTGAATTTAGGTAAAATCCAAAGTGGCTGCCAATTATACAGGCAACTATTTGATTATGTGTTGGCAATGTAACCTTGAGACGTGTGAGGATGTTGTCCCATAGGTCATTGTAAGCGCTTAACCACCATAAATCCTGTTTGGATTCGTCCATTGATTCTAGAAGCTAAAGCCCGGTGTCTTTCCATTGGTTCCAAATTAAATAACATCTTACTTTTCCCTCTAATGAATAGTAGATAGTACATTCAAGAACTTGATACTCTTAATACGATGATTCACATGTGAATAAAGAATTTCATATTATGAAGATATGAGATTAAGATGTTCTATATGTACATGAATGATTCAAGAATCTAATAATTTAAGTTTTTTGGCTTAAGTAATATCCAATATATATGTATAAACTTTTTAATATGTTTTTGTAGCTCTAAGTGTAATTTATCTCTCGAGTAACTAGTATCAAAGCTAAAGTCAAAAATTTGAGTCCTAGAAACACTTAAGTCAGTAATGTATGGAGCCAACCTTGACAAGTGAATGGGAGGGACAGATTGTTGGAAGGGTTACATGTAGGTAAAAAATCTCATATTACAAAAAAATGAGATTGAGATATTTTATATATACATAAGATTTAAAAACTCAATAACTTAAGTTTTTGAATTCAAGTGATATCTAACATGTATATATGAATTCTTTGATATGATTTCATGACTCCAAATGTGACTCATTTTTATGACATATGCATATGCTAAAAGATTGATGAGATTTTTTATTTTTTTATATAAAATAAAAGGGTAGTGTCCCAATGTCTTGCTTCTAAAATGTGCAATTGGAAAGTCAATTGTAATTCATCTTTTAAATTTCGTGTCAATAATAAGCACTGAAAATGTCAATAACTGAAGTCTGAAGGCAAAAGAAAACTCATTTTCTTGAATCACAATTCTTTATGTTATTCTTCATGTTGGTTTATTAGTCGCCTACTAATTAATTTAGAGAACCTTGCACGAGGTTCATGCAATGCATCAAATCATTTTAAAAATGCTGCTTAATTTTCTCTTAAATACTAAGGACGTTTTAAAGATTTAGTTAGCTTATATATATAAAAGATATCAAGGCAATCATAATCGGTTGGAAGGTTATTGCTAATTATATAGTTCTGAGTTGCTAAATCCCAAAAACACTATCAACTTCATTTTTTTATAAAAAAAAATCATAATTTAGAAATAAAAGAAAAAATTATAAATGATAAAATTTAAAATTTAAAATTGTTAAATATTAAAATAAATATATTTAAAATAATTATATAAATCAAATAAATTAAATCTCGAACCAGCAACTCTAATCCTTAATAATTTATTGTTTAATTAGCCATGCACAGTTTTTGGGCTGTATATGAAAAATTTTGTTTAAAGTATAACTATTTTTAGCAGCCTAATTCCACAGCTTGAAGGCTAGGGCCATTAGTCTTCCATTCTATGGTTTAATTTTTTTTATAAATGAAAAAGAATTCTGTGATGGTAACACATTTGAACGCCCCTCCCCCCTTTCATCAAAGAACAAATTTCTTTTTAAATGCTTGAAAATGTCCATATCCCTCCTTTTGTCACCTTTCTCCATATGACAAAAATGTAAGAATTTTATAATAATATCATAAAGTAACAAAGGAGTCTTTTCTACTTTTCCTTTTTCAATTAACTTAAATGTTTAATATCTATGTCCAATATGTACCACTTGAAAACTTTGATGATTTAGATTAATAATTAAACATGTGCCAAGTCTGTATTAATTATCAAATTATTTTCCATTATTTAAAATTAGTCACCCATACCCATATCTATAACTTCAAATACACGTGTAGGTTTATGAGATAAAGAAAAACCAAAAGAAAAGATTATGTGAATTTGAAGCAAATATCTTGGCTTGGTAACAAAACAAAGCCTATAGATTTGTATGTTTTTCTTTTCTTTCTTTGCTTTTTATTTTTATTTTTATTTTCCTTTTCTCAGTTTGTCTATGATTCATTTATAATGATTACCTTGTGAGTGAAGGAAAATGTGAGAGGGAAAAAAGAGATAAGATCATAGAGTCAAAGACAAGACGACCACCCTCTCTTTTGTTGTTACATCTTTCTATATATCGTTGCTTTTCTATTTCTCGCTCTCTCAAGTCTCCTTCCAAACCGTTTTCTACTTAGACCCATCAACCAACTCTCTATCCTCTCTTTCCTATATTCTAAGCAAACCCCACAACCATCACCATCATCATCACTACCATTTCCACTCCATGAAGCCTCCTCTTCTCTCTCTCTCTCTTTCACTCTATAAAGTGTCCACCAATCTATATGATCTAATTAGTTATAGGATCAACAAAAATAACCCACCAAGATTATTATTGTTGTTGGATAGGATCCAAGGCTTTAATTTCTCTCTTAGGAGATTGATTTCATGATGAGGAAGCCTGATCCATCCGTGAAGGGTAGCAATGGAGGAGGCAACAATAGTAATGGTACTACTAATAAGCTTAGGAAAGGGTTGTGGTCACCGGAGGAAGATGACAAGCTCATCAACTATATGTTAACCAATGGCCAGGGTTGTTGGAGTGATGTAGCTAGAAATGCAGGCCTGCAAAGGTGTGGCAAGAGCTGCCGGCTTCGTTGGATCAATTATTTGAGACCTGATCTCAAGCGAGGCGCGTTTTCGCCTCAGGAAGAAGAGCTTATCATCCATTTACATTCCATTCTTGGCAACAGGTGTGTTTTCTCTATCTTACACGCATGCTGATTTATCCCAAAATAACTTTAACAAGCATAATAACTTTTTCCCTCTCCTCTGTTCATTTTCTTGGAATCTTGGCTCATGGTCATGGACTCCAGATACATTTATGCGATAAAAATCATGGAAGTGAAAAAAATGTTATGCAAAATCCTCATAGCCAATCACTTAATTAAAATAGTTGTAGATAGCTTATGTTTGCATACAGCGCCACTCTGTTCAATGCTTTCTAACTTCAAACACTCTTTTTTTTTTCTAGGTTATTAGCTTCTATAATATTCTTTGCTAGGTGTATTACACTTTTTATTTCATTTTAATCCTGAGCAATGATAATCACATTGAAAGAGTCTAATTGCTTGCTTCATCAGGAGAACCCTTTCTACCTTTTATATCATTTCATTGACAAAATAAGCGCATGATCATAGTCTTCTCCATTATTATAGTCCCCTCAACCCGGCTATGATCAGAATGAAAAGATAAAGCAATATTTTTATCTATCTATCGATTTATCTATGCATGTGTGTAAGAGGATACCTCCAGCTGTTAGAGCTTGAAATTCCAAACTGGATGCCTTGAATTCAAATCATATGAAACGGAAAAGTGGGGTTTGTGAGATGAAAGGCCTAATTCATAAAAATTTTTGTAAGTATCTTACATAAAAATTATACGATATATACTGATAATTACACTGTCACACAAAGTCCTTTTCCTAGCTCATAAGCTCCAAAAATTAATCAAAAGGACTAATTGAGAAGCTGATGTGGAACGACTTCAGTGATTCACAAAAGGGAAGCACCAATCTAGAGAGCTCTCCTTGTTTGGTTGGTTGCTTTGCACATGCATATCATAAAGCCTTGAGTCAAGGAGCGTTTAAGGTAGTTGGTGGAGAGAGAGAGAGGCAAAAGAATCACTTCAAGGTTGTGGAGAAAGTAATAATATATACACATGAATTAGACAAGTTTTTTAATTTTGTGTACGTATTTTGATACTCTTTATGGAGATATAAAGTTGAAAGGGACATGGAAAAATCAAGGTTTTTTTTTTTTTTTTTAATTGTTGAACGAAGAACAAAACAAAATTTAGATGAAGTTTTTTAGGTGATGTTTATAAAATTATTTTTAAAAATGATTTAATAAAAATTTTAATAAAAAATCTAAACTGATAAATTAATAAAATTTGAAATAAAAATTAATAATATATGAAAATATTATTAAAAATATTATTTATAATTCAAAATTGATAGGTATATATTTAACGATAAAAATTCTGTCAAAATTTTTACTGAAAATATTTATCTAAAAAAATCAAAATTTATTAAAACTTTTTAAAATTTGCACATTTTATTTATGTTATAAAATTTTTAATCTATCAATTTCTATTTTTAATTTAATTTAATTTAATTATTTTTAATATGAAATTATACGAATTTCACTTAAAAGCTTCGTTAAGTCTTTCAGTGAAGATTATACAATCAATTATCTCTTATTTCACTTTATATTTAGATTGGGAAGGATTGTGCACTTCCTCTTACTTCGTTTTTCGGAGGGAAGAAAGACATTAAAAGAACCCCCCATCCCCACCCCCAAACAAAAACATAGATCTTATCTGATACCTATATACCAATCCTTTGATTTGAAGATACTCAAACCTACATTTGTTAAATGTTTTGATCTGCTTGCATGCAACTTGCAATGCATGCCATCACCATTAGTATAGTAATTAACTTAATTTTATGTATTTAAATGAGATCAACACAAAAATTGTGATTGTTTTAAAGTCTTTGGTGTGGAAATTGATATTGAAATTTTATATGTTCTTGGTTTCTGTGGACCTTAGCTTCAAGCTGAAGTCACAGTCTGTTGTTTAGAATTGAAGCATCCATGCACTACCATGCATTTTATTTATGCAAGAAACATACAAAACCTAAACACTTTGTCTATATACTTTTGATGAAAAGTACTGACCCTTGTTGTTCATGTTTGATCTTGTTCAAACCCTGAAAGATGGTCTCAAATTGCGGCTCGCCTGCCTGGTCGCACAGACAATGAAATAAAGAACTTTTGGAATTCGACGATAAAGAAAAGGCTAAAGAATTTGCCATCCACTTCCTCACCAAACGCTAGTGATTCATCAACATCGGAGCCTAGTAAAGCTGCATTGGCTGGGTTCATGTCAATGCAAGAACAAGGAATTTTGCCTATGTACATGGATTTATCATCAACTTCGTCGAATTCTTCTTTGCAATCCATGGTCCTGAATCACACTGGAAACTCTTTACCGATGCTCGAACAAGGCTTAAACGTGTATGGGGCTACCGGATACTTCAATCAGGCCTCATGTGTGACACAGGTTGGGGTAAATGGTGACAGTTTCTATGCTGAAAATGAGATATTTGGCAGTGTTGACAATGGGGTGGAAAGGGAGCTCTATGTCCCTCCATTAGAAAGCATTGGAGAAAACCTTAAAACTGAAAATACATTTGATAGGAACATCAATGACCCTTTCACTCTCATAAATAGTAGTAGTGGTAACAACAACAATAACAGATCAGAAAACATAGCCAGCGTAGCCGTTGGGAATTTTTGGTTAGGAGAAGAGCTAAAAGTTGGAGAATGGGACTTGGAGGATTTGATGAAAGATGTTTCTTCCTTTCCTTTTCTTGATTTCCAAAGCTGAATAATTAAACCCTCCAATTTTTATCTTCTATTCCCTTTCCAAACCTTAACCTTTCTTTCTTTGATCATGAAAACTACAAATTTCCTAGAGTCACATAATACTTACAAAAATCAGAAAAAAAAACCTATGTTTTTAGTTGCCAAATATTCTCCCCTCGACGCTCATATTTAGTTTTTTTTTTTTTTTTTTTTTTGGGGGGGGGGGGGGGGGGGCGTGGGGTTATGTTGAGTTTGGTCTCTCATCAAAACATTTGTATAAGTTTGTAGAATAGCTGAGTTTGGAATAAAGGTGGCATCTAGGGGACCAATGAAATCTTTGCAAGTATGTTTCTTATGAAGCGGCAAAAGGGTCCGTTAATTGACTGATGAAGAAACATGTGAGTACATAAGAAGAAATAATTAATTATACTGCTTTGTGAAAAAAATATATATGTGAATAGCCATGTAAACAGTGTTAGAAAGGATCATCTCAAGGAATATAGTTAGCACATTTAAGTGTTAGTTGAGATTGAGATTGATGTACTAAGCAATGTCAAATCGAGAGATCAGAAACAATAATGATAGATTGTATTACTATTATTACATTTTGATAAAATTATAATAAAATCTTGATCTCGATATCTCTTTCTTATGACATTTATTACTTTCTTGCTTGGAAAGGAAGCATAATTATAATACACGCAACTTATTGAAACTAATGTTTGCATAGTATCATGCATTAACCTTCCTTGAATTAATTGCGATTTTAATCACTTAAATACTTAATTAAGTTAATGGTTGAGATATCCATTTGAGCAAATAAATAAATCCCGACCCCATCGAAGAGTATTTAATCATTTTTTTTATAAATGAGATTATAATCTAAGGATTAGGTTAAAATTACAGCTATTAAAAATTAAATCTCAAATTTGTTAAATTTATTTTTTAAAGATGCTTGCATGACTCAGTTAAACTAAATTGTAAATTATGTATTTAGTCGACTTTGGTTTTAATTGCCAATTAATGTGTTTGTTAGTTATAAGCCTTAATGGTTGGCCTTCTAGATAGCTAGAAGAGTAATTATAAAGTTGGTGACCTTTTTCATTGGGATGACAATATCATTGTAAAGATATAAATATTTCAACTTTGGTGCAATGAAGTAAGTAGTAAGCAAGCTCTAATTAGTTAGACAGACAATGACTTAAAATTAATAAATTTCAATCGAAGGCAGTGCTTTTTTTTTTTTTTTTCTAAATGATTTTCCTCTAGATTTTTAACATTCTCATAACTAAGTTGTGAGTTGGAGAAGTGGTAATGGGCAACGGATGGTTGTTTTTCTCTTTAGGATGATGATGACTGCGTCTATTTTTCATGTAATTGAGGTCAGATTATTGGACTTTAATTATGGAAAGAGATGGCCAAGCTAGAGCACATCAAATTTTCATGGTTTTGCCTTTTGGCTTAGCATATGCTCAATAATTGGTTCACCTTTCTTGCCGACAATTGCTGCTGCGCAGGGGCAAAGAGACTCGCTTAACTTTTTTAACACCAACTTCCTTTTTTTTTAAAAAAAAAAAAAAAATTGAAATGTTCATGCATTATTCAAATACTGAATACAATTTTCATGTAAAGTCCTAGCTATAGCAACAGGAAACTCTTCTACTCACAACTCATCATTTTCTAGTAGTATATTGTAGACACGTCATATTATCTAGAAATTTTTTTGAAATCAAAATGGGCTTCGACTGTTGTTATAACATATAAATCTAAAAATCTATAACTAGACACAACTTAAGGAGTCGTCATAAATATTTTATTAAGGTGTGATTGACTACCTAAGTATATCTATCATCTTAAGAATGTCTTAAGCTTAACTAAGGATCCATAAAAGAAAAGTTTCTGGTCTATTAATCAGAATAGAGTTCGAGAGTTTGGTTACATGTAAGGAAGATTATAGCATCCCCACATACCCATCCAACGGATAATATCATTTTATTTTAAATTATCCTAAGGTTTATAGTTCTAATGGCCTTGATTTTGATATTTAAATATTGAAAATAATTCTTAAGATTTCTGCATCAATCTGATAGAATTCTTAAAAATACTTTCTCACCTTAAAAATATTCAAGAATTTCATTTGTTTTCTTAAAAAGGCTCCGTTGTCGGAAAGTTTAATCAAATTTTTTATTTTTAATTGTAAATATATAATTTTTTCACTATTTGAGCTTATATTAAAAATATTTTCTTATCTAGAAATATTTTAAATAATCATCTATGCGCGATTATTAAGAATTTCATCATCAAAATTTTATTTTTATTTCTAAAATTTTCACCATTTAGGTCTATTTAGATAAATTTCTTGCAAGTTTCATTTTCTAAACTTTTCACCATTTTGGTTAAATTTAAAATCCAAACTCTTGTTAGTTTCTCAATCTTAGGGAAAAAAATAATATGACAATTATTTTTTAAAGTCTCATTTAAATTCTTTCACAATTTGGGTTGAATTAAAAAAAGAACTTTTTCACCTAGAAATCTTATGAAAATTTAATGATTTACGATTTTTCTTAAGATTTCATCCTTGGATAATTGTTAAATATTTTCACCCAAATTTTTAATTTATATTTTTAATTTTTTAATTTAGAAAAGAATGCAATTACTTTTATTAAAATTTCATCCAAATTATTCCATCATTTGGGTTAAATTTAAAGAAAATTCCTCACTTAGAGATCTTTTAAAAAATTTATCATTTGAAATTTTTAAGAATCTCATTTTTGGAATAATTGTTAATTTATTCCCAAAATTTTAAATTTTTATTATTTTAGGTCCAGACTAAATAGGGTGTTTATAGTTGTCATTCTTTACGTATTTTCTATGAAATAAGAATGGAGCAAAGACGTAGATAACCCACATATCTAGATAATTAACTCGATATTTTCTTTTTAGAAACTCTTTTAAAATGGATACTATACTCAAACTTTTTAAATAACATAAAATTATTTTAAACAGAGGCTTAACGCTTTGAAAAAAATAAAAGCTCCTCTTAATAAAGGCTCAACAACTTTTAAACAACTTTTAAACAACTTTTAAAAAATAAGTAAGACTCCTCTAAACAGAAGCTTAATGACTTTTAAAAAATAAATAAGGCTCATCTAAATAGAGGCTCAGCAACTTTTGAAAAATAAAGTTTTTAAACAATCATACCCAAATGTCTTATAGATCGTGTCTAAAGAAATTTTAGGAGATTATGCCCAGAGGTCTTACAAATCATTTCTAATATTGGAAAATGATGCTTTGAAAAAAGGCTTCACAACTTTTAAAAAAAAATGAAAAATCTTTCTTGACCATGACTGATTTTCTTGAAATATCTTTTTTTAAGGATTAAAATCTTACCTCAAAGTTTCTTTTCAAATAAGAATTGGAAATTCTTTCACTAAAAAGTCTTCATATTTATCTTCTTCATGTGGAATCTTGCAATATCCCTGTTTCCTATATTCATGTACTAGACATTCTTAAAAATAATGCATGCTACGCAAATGTTAATTAACATCTTTTCAATTGTTGTACGCAGGTTCTCAAGCCTCTTTCCTTTGAATCTTGAACTCTTCAATCTTCAAGCACTAAGACCAAATCGATTTGATTCTTAATATCTTTCTCATTCAATGTTAACTCCCATATTCTCCTTTTAAAGAAATCTTTTGTCTCTAAATTCAATGTTCTTACCAAGAATTGAACACTTCATATTTGCCTTTAACATTCTTAACCTTTCCAAGGTAATGTAGAAATCTTTCATGCTATTATTCATTTATCAATTATTATTTCAATTTTAAAAAGTAAAAATGCAATCACCATTTCTTCCATTGCAAAGTATTAAAAAGAAAAGCCAAGGGATAGATTGGGAATAAATAGGAAATAGTTATAAAAAAAGAGACACAAGGAATGAAATAAAATATCTCTTATTTAAAAAGAATAGTAAAACAACTTTTGCCATTAACAAAGAAGAATGGTTACAAAAATGGGTATGGGGTAACAACACCCAAATTAAACAATCAAATAATCATAATAACATATCTCAAAAGCTTTTTAAAAACTCAACCACCTAATGCACCTAACAACTTAGAGCTCCCCAGAACATGCTAGCCTTTATGTTGATGAATTCTTTAATTCGATATTGTATCCTCCTCATTTAAGTAGCTTTTTTAGGTTTTCGACTTAGATAAACCCTTTTTGACTCAAACTATCTTTTTTGAGTTTTTAATTTAAGTCCTTCTTTTTCATTCATTCATTTTTTTCTTTACCTTTTTTTTTATTTTTTTTATTTTTCTCTTTTTCTTTTTTAAGCATAGTATTTCTTCACAATATCAGAATTTATAGGATTATACAAATCATCCCCATCCATCTCCACTAATATGGCCCTTCCCAATTCAAAGTCTATTTTCCTCTATTATCATGCTGGCTTTAGAGAATTCTTTTTAAAATCAACTCTCATTCATGAAAATAATAATGCCAGACCTTTTTATCATGAGCCCTCATCATCTTTCTCAAATATAGCTGACCATGACACATCAATGTCAATATTTTTTCTTTAATGAAATTCAACTGCTTGTAGCGCTATCGAATCCATTTGCCTCTTTCAGTCCAATTTTTTTTAAAACTCTTAAGGATGAAATTTTCACTTTCATCAGTAATACAACTTTCATCCTATAAACCAAGAAAAATGGTGTTGCTTCAATAGAGATATGCACTGATGTTCGATAAGCATGAAGGGTAAATAGCAACTTCTCATGCCAGTCCTTATAGGACTTGGTCATCTTCTTAAAAATTCTTTTTATATTCTTGTTTGCTGCTTCAGTTGCCCCATTCATTTTTAGATGTTATGGTGTCGAATAATGATGTTTAATTTTGTACTAAGTGCATACTTTTTACATCATCTTACTATTCAGGTTCTTGACATTATCTGAAATAATTCTTTTTGAAAGCTTATATCTATAAATGATCTCTTTCTTTATGAACTTACAGATCACATATCGTGACACACTTCCAAATTAAGTTGCTTCCATCCATTTCATGAAATAATCTATCATTACAAAAATGAACCTATGCCCAGTAGAAGCTTTTAGGGTAA